GTTTCGGAACATTTGTAATATTGTTTTGTCGAAAAAAATCATGTTAGACCACCTGTCTTGCACATGTTCATGGGCCCATTCGAGACAGGCAGCAATATGGGAGGGTTGGAGAAGAGGAACACATAGCAGTCAGCAAACAATATATTGGAGGTCCTTTTTAAGAACTTCCTGAATAGTATGAACTGATATATTTAAGTTGGGATAGATTTTATTAAGTCTGGCAGCCACTTCAGTGGCAGTAACTGTATTATTGACTTGTATAAGTTGCCTGAGATGACGACACTCTTTCACTATAAGAATTTTGAGTCTTCCAGGAATAGAAAGTAAAACAAGGGTGCCTCTTTTTTTGAGTTGATTTACATAATCATATGTTGTACTCTTTGGAAAACCTGTAATTCGTACGATTTTGGCAGGTTTCCTTATACCATTATTTCATAACTGCCTTACGACCATTCTTTGTATAGCGAGATCAGTATTGGATGATATTTTTCGCATCTAGTATTAATTTGGCAGCTTAAAATAGTGAGTTATTTATATAAACCAGTGCACGTGGATTATTTAATATAAATAACTCATTACAAAAATATACTTATCTAGAATTTGGTTGTCATTACACTTTTTATATAATTAAATAAAAGTCTGGATCTTTTCTGCATCCACTGTATTTACTTTGGACAGTAGCTTGATTATTTCTGAAAGTAGCATCCTATTTCAGTTAAATGGATCAACCAGTATGATGTGCCTAATCCAAGGTATCCTTTGTATAATAATCAATCTTTTTTTTACATTTTTACTGATTATTATTAAATATCTAAATATAAACAACTATACTACTACCACTATTAACAATGACTTAAGAAATGGCTGTCAAGAGAATGTGTCATTAATACTATTATATACTATAAGCTGTAGCTTGGCCATTCTGAAAAGTGCAATAGTACTTCAGAAGAGTAAAATTACCAAAGCAACATTAGGTTTTATTTGTACTATAATTAGTTTTTTTGTCATTTTTCTTTTATCTAATATTTTCTTTTTTCACTTTTATATTTTCTTAAATTTTATTTCATAATCCTGGATAGATATTTATAGCTGCTTGGCACTATCTTAAATGTACATTGGTTTTAATATTTATTTTTCATATTACTTAAATAGTTTCTATAAGCAAGCTAGCATTAGACTTATTAGTTTAGCAAGTTATATAAGAGATATTGTTGCTTTCTCCATATATAAATTTTAAACAATTTTATGATTAATAAAGTGATAATGTTTACCTACTTAAAAAAAATAATAATAATAAATTAAAACTAATAGTTTTAAATCAAATTGATTTATAAAAAATTAAAACTAATCAGTTTTCAAATCAGTTTGATTTAAAAAAAATAAAATAAATTAGTTTTAGTTTAATTAAAATAAATTCAAACTGATTTGTTGTAATTCTTAATTTTGATATTTATATAACTTCAGTTGTATTATTAAAATATATAAAAGATATTATAACTAGGGCTCCTAACGATATCACTTCAATATTAGTTTGATACTTAAATTTACTATAAAAACATATAAGTAGGTCACAACTTATATATTAAATTTACTATAGATCGATACCATTTTGATATCATTTTGATACCAGTTCAGTATTTTTTGAAGCCTTAATTATAACATATATAAAAGAGCTAATTTCAAAAGAAAACATTATTTCATTGATTTAAATAACAACTTGTTCAGATATAATAATTACCTATTGGAAATCTTTTCCACAAATTTTTATATAATACTCTTAATAAGCATTTTAATATTCTCTTTATGGATTATTTTTAATCTTAATAGCCTGATTAAACATTATTTATACAATATAATCAATAAGTTATCTATTATATTATATTATAAAAAAAATATTTTTCAATTATGAATAACTTCTTTATCTTTTTTTTTTCATCTTAACACTTTAAAAATTTGATTTTTGTTAACAATATTATTTTTAACTTTATCAGAACAAAGTTTTTGCAAATGATATAAAAATAAATCCAATTAATTCAAAATATTTTTTAGGTAATTTCTTATATATAATATTGATTATTTTTTATTAATACTTATTAAACTATATTATAAAAATAAAAAGTAACAAGAAAATATTTCAAGAAGTTTTTAATTATTTAAAAAAAATAATTAAGATTAATTTTATTTTAATAATATCAAAAATTAATAATCAAATATAAAACAAATTAATTTAAATTGGACCTATGGATCTATAGTACAGTGGTAATGCTCCATAGGTTACCAGGAGAAGGTCTAGGGTTCAATCCCGCCTGGTTACAAAAATTTATCACTTTCATGATTGGTTGACCGGCCTCCAATTCATGTCATACCCAATCAGCCAACAAATTTATCTCCAAATTTAGTTAGACTGCATGAAGATGGGACCTCTGGTCTTTCCGACGATTGCGAATTGAAAACAGGTCAAAGCAAGAAAGGTTGCATGAGGAAAGACTTCTGGTCTAACTCCGGTAATAAGCCCACAAACTCTAACCCAAACTGGTGACGGCAAACTCCGTCACACAATACAAAAAGGTTAATCCTAAGCTGATCTATCCTAATTTGGAACTTGTAGATCTATCCCAATGGTAGTGTTTCACAAAACTTAATCATATGGCTGATGAGCAAGGTATTAGCCACAGGTGGTGAGAAGACTAAACAAAAATCGTTAAGCCAAGTGAGTCTAGTGAGGATCTACAAGATTAAATCGGAATTCAAGCAAGGACGCCAATTTCACAGGTGGTGAAAACGGTAGTGTTGCGCTATGCTAGTGACACATCCCGAGGATCAGTGATAACAGGTGATTGGAATGATTGGTGTTAATCTCTATAATTAACATTTCATACACACTGCTCTCTACAATAATGGATCAGCAGATTTAGGCAGGTTTAAACTAATGGTAGGATTTCCTCCTCTGCGAAAGTCCCACCTGACGTGTGGACACATCTACTTGATGTTGAACGCATAGTTAGGTAAAAAAAGTGGTTAGTGTAGCTAGTCTTATAGTAATATATATATTAGGCAGTGTTAAACTGTAGATTAACTATAGAGATATAAAGGGTATTCATGTACCAACCGACTTTCGGTTAGTTTGTAGAGATACTTGGTGTCTATCTGGATATTAAATGTATCAATAAAGATCACATGCCGTGCACACGTTCCACTTTAAAAAAAAAAAAAAACAAATTAATTTAAATTAAATATATTAATTCCAATTTTAATTTAAAATCTAGTAATATTCTTTAATGAATTAATCTATTTTTTTTTTTTTTTTTTAAAGTTAAATGGCATTAGATACAAATTCTTTATTAATAACAATGTATTCATTACATCAAGCATCCTTTGTAATATATGACTACAACTAAACGTTAACCTATCAACTTTATTCATCTGGTACCTGGAAGCCTGTCACTTTATTACCTTTCCTTGTGATACCAGGGGGCTATAGGGGTAGAAATCCTACTGCTAGTTTTAAACTACCTAATCTATAGGGCTTATATGCTTATGAGGGGCTTATATTATTAATTATCTTATATAGATTACCTTTCACATTACACCTCTCTCAATCCATTACATAAGCAGAGGGGAACCTTCGACACAAGCACATACTCCCTAGTGAATGCTTTGGTTTTGACCACTGGTTGGACACTACCAAATCTAGGAGTCATTTTGGCCAAGTGGGGTGTGACTCCTTAAGGATCTATATAAATATGGGTTTGTAAGACACCACCTACGAATCGATTCTTAAACTCCTAGTAGACACTCCAGATTCGAACCAGTTGGCGTAAGCTGTCAAATTTAGGGGTCATTTTAATCAAGCAGGATGCAACTCCTATGTACTCTGTCTTACCACATGGCTAGCTGTATTATCCCATGATGGCATCGGATTGATGCTTTCTTCAAGACTTTCTACTTTTGGTAATTAACAGTGGGAGAGGCTTAACTGAATTAGTTGAGATAGAGTATAGTCCAGTCTATACTTCCAAATATATGGTTGATTCTTGGCACCTTGTCTGATGATCATCGTATCACTTCCTGATAATCATCATGCCACACACCTTTCTTGGAGATCACAATCCTATCGTTCTACTAGATTAGCATGCGAATGATTTCTTATAGGAAACAGAGCACTTATAGGTTATGGTCCCAGATATCATTTTTAATGCAGTTCAACTGCCTTCACCTGGAGTTGAATTGATATCTTGTGATCTGACCTGTGGAGTGTTAACCACTACACTATAGACCCACAGGTTGTTATAAATTAATCTATTATTTTACTTTTCTAAAAATTTATTAATCAATAATTTATAACTTGTCAACAGTATCAGAAAATACAAAAAAATTTTAAGTATTATTAAACTTATATAATCTGTAAAAGCTTATCAGTTTTAAAAACATTTGACTATACTTAAAAACTTTATAATTTCAAATTTATTAACAAATTTAATAGAAATATTAAAAATACAAAAGTCAATAAATATAGCAATTTTATTGTCTTTAGAATCAAACTATTTTAAGAAATACTTTTAACAAGAAAATCTTTATAAAATTAATATTGTTTCAAATACAATCTATATATTGAAAATATTTAATATGTCCTTAAATATTTAATAATATCAAAAAAATCAATTAGCTTATCAATATTCTTAATAATATTTTTTATTTCAATAGTAATTATAAACTAATTTCATGTACTTAACAATTAATAAAACTGGTATATGATATTATTGATAATATCTTTTTTACAATTAACTTTTCTAGTTGAATAAAAATATTAATTAAGGTCTTAACTTACTTATATTATATATATGATGAAATTAAATTCAAATATTTTTCAAAAACTGTATTTTCTATTAAAAACATAGTAAATTAATTAAAAATTGTATTTAATTTGAAATTATATTCTCATATATGGTAAAGATTAACAATATAACCACATATATAACCTATATAAATCAATTTTTTTTTTACTAACATCAAATAGAATAATAATCTTTTCAATATATTTATAAAATCAATTATTAAGAATATAATCAAATTCAAATTATTTAATAATTCTACCTTCATACTAATTTTAAACATTATTAATTTATCAACTATAGTTATAAACTTCTATATTTAAAGTAAATATAATTTTTTCAAATATATTTTCAAACTAATATTTTTAATTACTTTAATTTTTTTTGATTTAATATTGAGTAAATAATTATAATTACTTAAGATCTCTTGACAAAGTATATTGGTTTAAAATTTCTTTTTAATATTAGTTAAGTAGTTATTATAGATTAGAATTTTTAACAATACTATTTTGTATCAAGTTAATATTAGATTTATTATAAGTTTAATATAGTAAATTACAATCCATATATTTATTATAAGTTAGTATCAAGTCAATATTATTTTAATACTTAGTTCAGAATTCTATTGTAGACAAGCTAGCATTTAACTTGTATTATTATATATAAATAAGGATTCTAATGATTTGATTTAATTTGATTTTTGATTCTTAGGTTTATATTAAATTTTCTATGTAGGTTATAACTCACTATTATTTTTAATAATGTTTCAAACCTCATATAAGTCTATTTAAGTCTGTTTGATTCCAATTTTCAAAACCAGATATATAAGTAATGTTATTTCTTATATAATGTATATTTAATATTATATAAATTAAATAAAGAAATAATGTTTGCCTATAAAAAAAAATTTTTTTTAAATTTGAAATTTTTTGATTTAAAAATTAATTTTGTAATAAAATTTATAATAATTGATTATAAAAATTAAAATAAACTATTTTTAAAACAGTATTAAGTAAAATTGTTTATAAGATATTTAATTATATGTTTATAAATTTTTATAAATTATTAAATTATTACAATCTAATATTAATGGCTAATGTAATACATACCTCTTCCCATAATCTTCTCAATTTCTTTTTGTCATAATCTGAAAAGACTTTGTTTACGGGATCAACTAGATTTTTTTCGGCAAGATTTACAATACGATATTCAAAAAGACGATGGTTTACGTCAGCCATCTTTATAATGAGATTCTGAATTTCAGATGGTACATCATTTTCACATAAACTATCAAAATAATCGTCATCGCTTTCAGATTGAGCCTGTAAAGAATCATGTGAAGAGGAAGGATTGGGAGTAACATTATTTGGAGAAGGGAGCGTGACAACACGTGGAAGATTAGTCGTAGAGGCTTCCCCAGATGTTACTTCGTCTATTAGTGCTATCGAATCTACATCCCTGGCCTTTCATGCAATAAATAGTTGTAAGAGGAATTCGCGTGAACAAATCCTTACCATAGGTTACACACAAAACCGACCTTTTTTGGAATCATTTGCTCCTGTCGGATAGGCATGATATTGTCATCGGGCTGAATACAAAAGGGTTTACCACCAAATTTTCTAGCAAAAAGCACTTCAGTACCTCATCACGATTTCTTTTTTGTCCAACAATGAACGATCCACCAGTTATTGTCCCTACATTCCCTGTCACATTTCCGTTGATATCCGTAATTGTCGAGCGATGATAGTAAACCTGCTTGCGCGAGCATTCCCTCTCCCACTTTCTCGCCAATTTGAAATCGAACTGGGAATCCTAACAAGATTGATTAGTAATATCCTCAACTAACAAGTAAATTCCAAGCTAAATTCCAATCCCACCAGAACATCAGACAACCGAGCAGGTCACCTGCTTCCGGTGGGTCCAGTGCTGGATTGGCAAGCAGCCTTTCTACATCAGACAACCGAGCAGGTCATCTGTGGCCCAACACTGGTTTTGTGGCTCAGCGAGCAGCCTTGAATGACAAGCAACCGAGCAGGTTCTTGCCTGTCACGCCACTATTTCCCACATACATTTCTAACAAAAAAAGTAATACTTGCCTCTCTATACCTAGAAAGAAGAAGAATTGCCTGCTCTCGTCTTTTTCCTTGTCCATTGTCAGCTATATTCTCGAGATCTTTTAATATATTTATCAATCTTCCTTTGAAACGGCTCCTCATCACATTCTTCTAAAAATCCGAGAATGCTCCAACTGGTGGACTTGCTGTCAAAATACTCGTGAACATGTTGAGACATAAGTACAACTGATTTAAGTGATACGATAAACACGTCAGATAATCGCGTATTGTCACGTGAAATGATCAGGCTAATTATGACGATGCCTTACTGCGGAGGATTGTACTTATTGCGCGTGACTCGTAAAATTAAAATACAGAGAACCCCCCTTAAATACACCCTCTCTAAATACACACCTTCTCTAAATGCACTCTTTTTTATAGTCCCAAGTTGGATCAATAATATTAAATGCGCCCTTCATATTCTAACAGTACAATAAATTTTCAAAAATTTTTATATTAAATTAATTCTCTAAATGCATTTTATATATCAATATAATTTGCGAAGTTGGCCAAAATTAATATGACTGGAATTAACATAAAGCTGGGCAAAATTAAGATGACTGACTGGAAATAACATAAAGCCGAATAACTGATCAGAATTAACATAAAGCCAGGCAAAATTAAGATGATTAGTCAAAATTAATATAAAACTGGACAAAATTAAGATAACTAACTGGAATTAATATAATACCAGGCAAAATTAAAATGGTTAATTGGAACTAATATAAAATTAAATAAAAAAATTTTTTTTCTTTAAATGCACATCTTATACTTGCTCTTGGTTTCAAGAGAATATATATATATATATATATATATATATTTTTAATCCCGCAATCAGGTTGGTGTCGTTTATTTATTTAATTATAAAGAACCATTACAAGTTAAGAACCTATGTAAAGTATAAATTTCCTCGACCCAACTCACCCATCTTTAGCCAAAGCCTCTAGATGCGATTTATGGGGGTGATAATGTTGTTCACCTAGTGGATGGAATTAAGATTCCAGATTTCCAGCA